GCGGCCCGCGCCACGCGCCGGCGTACTGTACCACGGTTCGCGCCGCTCCTCGGGGGCGCGCCCCGCCGCGCGCACAGGCTCGCGGGGTGCGGGGGGTCCCGCAGAGGGGGGGCAAAGCTTTCGGTGGCAACTCACGGGAGCCTCCCATGGGACGCGCAGGGACATACTAACACTATATTTCCTCCTGGGAGGCGCGCGTCCGACTCGAACATGTAGTATACCCATCTTGTAGTAGATCGCTTCCCGAGAGGTGTGGCCAGAAAGTGCCCGCCACGACGCATATATGGTGAGATTTCTCGGTGCGCGCGTCGCTCCTGGGGGGGTTGGGGGGGCGACGCACATATAGTATGAGCACGATCCCATACCATCTTGTCGGCTCTTGCGAGCCGACGCGAATCGACGCCAGCCGACGCTGATCGACGCTGCATCGACGCTATTATCGACGCTAAATCAGTACTGCCTCATCGACTCTCCCGGACGCTAATCGGCGCGAGTCGACGCCAAAGACGGAATGGAGAGGGCAGACCAGCCTCCCACGATTTGCTACCGAAGAAGCTGGTGCCTCGCGCGGGAGGGCAGAAGAGCAGAAGACGGCACGAGCACACCCAGACCTCCGAAGACATGATGGCTTCGATCGCGGTGTGCTCCCCTCGATTTTCCGGATTCGGGAGGCCGCTTTTTCGGGCCCCGCGACCGTGAGAAGTCGACCCAAGACGCAAAGCTACACCCGTGGAAAGGGTCGGGGCCTCTGGAACCGCGCACCAGAGAAAATCGCATCCGGATACCCGGAAGCGCGCCCCGAGGGAAGGCCAAGGGGGCGAGCCTTCTCGGCAAGCTCAGATGGCCTCCAGCCCTCTGAGAAGCTAGCCTGGGCCGTCGCCGAAGCAACCGGGGGGTCTCTCAGAAGGCCCGAGGGCTTCCGAGAAGCCCCGCCGCCCTCTGACAGAGGCCTGCCCCCTCGGACCCTTCCCCCACGGCGCGCCGCCGACCTATACGCTGCTGGAGGCCCGCGCGGATGGCGCGGGTAGGGGCGGGGGCCCACCTCCTCGCCATCCCGGGCGGTGCCTCCAGAGCCGCCCCTGGCCCGGCCTGGCGGAACGGCGCGGAGCCGGATCCAGCCGCCGACCCGAGAAAAAAGCCCGCGCGGGCCTCCGAGAGAGAGTTCGGCAGGGTCGTGTCTCGTGGCGGCTTCGGCACTGGCTCCTGGCGCCGCGCGGATGCTCAACTCGGAACGGTTAACAAGGGACATGTCGGCCCTACCCCAGGCTTCGTGGGGCTTCGACTGGACCAGACATGCGGGGCCCAGCCCTGCGACACATGATGGGGGGGGGGCGTGCGAAGGCCTCTGCAAGCCGAAGACGGCCCAAAGCGGGCCGCTCCCAGTCTTCCCGGGGCGTCAGATCTCCGGGGGGGCTCCCGCCGCGTCGACGCCACACGAACCTGCCGCATGTCTGTGCCCCCGTCTGCTCTTCCGGGTGAGGGGCGACCCTCGCCCGCCAAAGAGGGCCCACGCCCAGGCGTGGGCGAGAGGCCGGCAATCCGCCTGCACCGGCCCCGGCCGGGCCCGAGCCTTGGCGGTTCGCAGGACCATCGTTTGACCGGTCCCCATCCCTGCTGGCGTGGCCTAGGCCCCACTGGCCAATGTACCTCCCTTGATGGGAATGTAGTCTGTTCCCTTCGGGTCTCCAAGGGTATATCCCCAACTGGGGTGCTGAAATCATCGGGCTCGGGATGGGGATGGGACTGGGGGTCGGTTAAACGATACTGAGTGCAGGAGCACGGAGCGCCATGGGATCCTGGCGCCACAGGTAGGGGAAAAAACAAAGACGTAACTATGAAAGCTCACAGGTCCGCGTGGATTCCTCGGATCCGCCATGGGGGCCTTCTGGCGGCGCCTCCAGCACCGCCCCTGGCGCACTCCTCGCGCCAGGGAGGGGGGTCCAGCCCCGATCAGAGAAATCCGCGCGGGCCTTCGAGCTGTTATGTTTATGCCAATGCATGTTCCCATAACCATGGGACTCTCGCTCCGCAAGACACATCGAGACGGTATGTTTTTCACGTCTCGGGCCGTCCACGGCATCCATCATCCTACACCAAGCTGCCTCAAGAAAATCAGACATGGCACTGCCTACGCACGCCAGGGGAATATGAGCGACTCGAATTCCGTGCAAGGGTGGGAAGAGTCAGAAGAGGGCAGGGGTGGAGATACAAGCAGCTAAAAGAGCTCGTGCTAGACTCAACTGCGTCCCCTTCCCATGCCTCGTGCTTCCATGCTGTGTTTCGTTGTGCCTGTCCCATGCACATGATATCCGCCACCGTGCCATGTGCACGCTGGGGCGAGTTAGAAAGCTTCCCTGGTATCTGGTACGGTTTCCCTCGTATTCTAAGGCCGATCCAACCCCCTCCCCACAAGCACCCGTAGAAAACCAAAACCACCATCCCGGGGTTGCTTTCGGGCGCTCTGTTTGAACTCCACATGGCGCCAAGACGACTATGAGGATCCAATACAGCCTCGAGATGCATCCAAGCTGGTCCAATAGACCGCGAAGACAACCATCCCAGATTGCCCCATCAGAGCGAAAGAAACCCCAGACACAGCCCAAGAGGGTGGCTCCTGCCTTGGCGCCGCGCACATTCGTCTTAAACATTTGCCAGAGTTTCACGGGTTCCAGCGGTGAAAGTACCAGAAAAAGTGTCTGTTGGCACGATGTCGGACTGTCAGGGCGCAACAGTTACGTTGATTTGCGGTTGAAGTCCCAGGATTGGCGTTCTGGCAGGATTCAGGATCGTCAAGACGCAACAATCAGGTTGACGTTGCAGTCCCGAAAAAAGGTGTTTTGGCACGCTTCAGGATCTTCAAACGGCTGCCTCCCAACGGGGCATTTCTCAGTGGAAACGAACCCTTGTAGGGGCCTGTAAAGATGGAGCTTGAAAGGGGGCTTCTTCCAACATCGCTGATGAGTCTCGGGTTCAAACTGGTCCTCATCCTCCTTCCTAGACATCCCGCTGCTCCATGTTTTACGATGCGTGGGCACGGCCTGGACCACTTCCCCAAGGGCCGGCTTCACATCCCGAGTCGTTTTTTTCGGTCCCGAGGGCCGACGAGGGCCCCGGAGGCCTAAAACGGTGTATAAGAAAAAAAAAAAAAAAAAAAAAAAACTCCCGAACCCTCGCCCCGCCTGCCTCCTTTCCTGCCCCACCCACCGCCCTCACCGTCATCCACCCTCATCCCCCCGTTGCCCCCTCCTCACGCAGTTTGTCTCGTCGCCGGCCGCCCTCTCGCGGCGACGCCGCGGGCCCGCGGGGGCCCGCGGGAGAGAGAGGCTCGCGCGGTGGGGGGCGGCACGGGCCCAGCGGGCACGGCCGCGGGCTGAGGGGCACGCCTTCAGACCCCTGGCGGCTCGACGAGCGGCAAAAGCACAGAAACGCTTCTCGAGAGGAAGCGACGACGGCACCAACATAGACTTTCGGAGGCGCTGGACCCCCCCCCCTGCGGCGCCCCAAGGCGCCGCCCCAGGCGCGCTTCGCGCGCCAGGGAGGGGGGCCCAGTGCCCCAAGAAACCTGCGCGGCACCTTTGAAGAGTGCATCTTGCTGCGGCTTGTTCCTCGAGCTCCTCCCCACGATCCTGGGCACCGACAAGGCCCAGAAAGGGACCGTCAAGAAACGAACCAAAAGGGAAGCGAAACGCCAGTGCCCCGGGGAGGAGAGGGGGCCGAGAGCTCCAGAGGGCCGGCCGGCTCGCGCAGGGGCGGGCCGCCAGAGGTCTGCGTGCTGGGAGGCGGCAGGGGGCCCGAGGAGGAGCTCCTCGCGAGGCGTCGAGCGAGCCGTGCCCCTGGTCGGGGCCCCGGGTCGGGCGATGACACTCCAACCAGACCACCCCAACCCAACCCGAAGACCCGAACTTGACCCGAATTTCGGGTTGGGGGTGGTACGGGTTCCATGCGTTTTTTCAACGCTCCCCGACCCCACCCCCACTGGAAGTGGAGGGCAGATTTAGGCTTCGGGTTGCCCGAGGGGTGGGGATTGCAAACGCGGGGCCTGCGAATCAGCTCTCGCAGCGGATTGTCCCAGCGCCTCCCGGGCGCCGAAGGCGCCAGTGTGCAGTCCAGTCAGACCCAGGCCAGAAGAGCTCCCTTCGAGAATATGAGGCTCTCCGCCGGCCAAAACACACAGAGCATCCAAGGGTACCCTCCACAGGGTGCACAAGAACATCCAATAAGCACGAAGAGCCCGAGGGCCCCCTCTCCGAACCGACCTCGATCTCACCCCTCGGTCCGACTGTATCCCCCCCTTCTGCGTCTTGCCAGAGGTGGTTCTGGCCCAGGGGTACCCCAGCCTGCCTTGCCATCTTGGAGCCCCTCCAGCCCGCTGGGCCTCGTGGGGGGTGCCCTGTAGGCCATCCGGGCCTCCTCAGAAGTTTGGCGGCGCGCACGGGGGGGGGTATGGGGGGGAGAGGGGAAGGCTCCTTGGGAGGAGGCTCCTTCTTAGAAGGCGCGTGCCCTACATCTACAGACAAGGCCCGCGCCTTTTGAGAAGCAGCCTCCCTCTAAGAAGCCGTCCCCCCGCCCCCAGACCCCCCTCTGAGCGTGGCCGAGAGATCCTGGGGACACCTTAGGCTTAGGTCGGGCATGTCCCCTTACAAGTGGATTTGTAGACGAAAAATTAACAATAATTAGCAAAATATGCCATAAACCTCAGAATGCAATCGGAAAATAGTCCCCTGACTATTTCTTGACTATTTTGGAATCTTCCTCCTGTAGAGGGACGCGCCCGACTTCACCTCAGGCCAGGGACACCCTTGGCGGCACCCTCGCCCGACCCGGTGTGGGCGCGGCGGTCCGGTGGCGGCCCCTGAGCAGTGTCCGGTTCGCGCCGCGGCACGCTCCGAGGCGAGCGCGGGCCCTTGAGGCCCTCGGCCGCGCGAGCGGCGCGGGACAGAACGTCCGAAAAGCGGCAGGGCGGTGCCAAGCGATCCCGCGAGGGGGACTGGTTAAATAATTGAGCCGCACGGTGATCCCCGGAAGCTGGCTCGGGACGACAGCAGCCGGGGGGTGTGAGGCCTGCCCCCGCCCTCCCCCTCCCCCTCCTCCTCCTCCTCCTCCTCCTCCTCCTCCTCCTCCTCCCCTCCTCCTCCCATCCTCCTCCTCCTCCTCTCCTCTCCTCCTCTCCTCCTCCTCTCTCCTCCTCCTCTCCTCCTCCTCCTCCTCCTCCTCCTCCGCCTCCTCCGCCTCCTCCGCCTCCTCCGCCTCCTCCGCCTCCTCCGCCTCCTCCGCCTCCTGAATCTTGCCCCCGCCTCTCCTGGCACGAGCGCACAGAGCTCCGCGCAAGCTGCCCCCACCCGTCACCCCCGCCTGCCCGGCGGCCGACAGCGAGGGCGGGAGAGCAAGCACAGAGGCCCTCGGGCAAGCGTGGCCCGCGAGGGAGGGGGACGCCGCCCTGGCTGCCAGCGCGGCTCCCCAGGAGGAGGAGGAGGAGGAGGAGGAGGAGGAGGCCCGCGGCTCCCTAGCACGTGGCCTGCCGATGCCCTCGGCAGGACCTGGTCTGCCGATACCCTCACCCTCAGCGTATGATGAGCAACAAACGTACCCCCGAACCCTCCGGGAAGGGACCTGAGTTCGGAGGGCCGAAAACTGTGGGGATAAGAGTGGTCTCTTCTGCAGACGTATCAGACCGAACCGCCCAGATGTACCATCCCTGAGTGAGGCCACGTTCTCATCGCGTCATCAGGGTCTAGGGGCTCTCTTGATCGCTCTATACATGACTGCAGAGTCGGGCTGCCCTCCAGATCTCTTGCGGGCTGACGGCGAGCCGTTGTGCGGGTGCGGATCCAGATCCCCCCGCTTCCGCGTGCGGTCACATCACAGCCCGAGCACCGCGAAACCCGTGCTCCCCGCCTGCGGGCAGCGGCAGTGCGGGCCGGGCGCGGCGCACGGGACTGCCTCGCCCCCGATGGCCCCGAAGCTCGAAGGCTGCAGCAGCCTCACGGGTGGAAGGGGGGGTTCGTTGTTGAAAACGTGGCTCTCGCCTCGTGGCGCCGTGCATGGCGTTCGGAGAAGCTTGAGGCCGAGTTCAGCGATGAAGGGGGGCATCTGAGAAATGGGGCGCTTGGCTTGGCGCCACGCACAGCCGTCGCAAAAGTGCGCCACAGCTTCCAGGATGGAGGGCGGTGGTTCTCCAGAGCTCTCGCCCAAGCGCCGCGCACAGTCGTCTTGAAAAGCTTGCAACAGTTTCAACGAGGAGTTGCAGTCGCTTTTCAAACTGGCGCGCTCGCCTTAGCACAAACACAGTCGTCTCAAAGCTTGCAGAAAACTTCAAGAATGGAGGGCGGCTCCTCCTCTAAACTGGGTTCTTGCATGCGCGCCGCGCACTTTCGTCTACAACAACCTGCAACGGTTTCATGATCCGTTTCGAAATGAGCCTCTCGCCTTAGCGCCACGCACACTCGTCTTAATGCAAGAGCTACAAGAGTTGCGGCCCGTTGATTTCCAAAAGTGGCGTTTTCTCTGCCTTCTATCAAACAATTGAACAGACTCAACTCCCAAGAAGCCCCAGAACTGCCCCCAACAGGCCCCCGAGAGCGCTCCCAAGAGACCCCAAGCAGCATCCCCGAGGACTCTGACCAGCGCGTGACTCAGGCACAATGGCGGGATAGGCCGAAGGCCGTTCGATCCGCCGCTCATTTTTGATTCGTCAAAGGGGTGCCTGGCGTGCTGAACCCTCTCGGTTTTGGTTCTTTTCCCACAGAACTCCCCCTGGGGGTTCGGCCCGTCCCGCCGGCCGCCCGGAAGGATGCCGAAAATTTGCCCAGAGGTGGTTGCAAAGGGTTTTTCAATTCCAGACGGCCCCCAAAATGACCTAAGATGGCCTCCAAGACACCTCCAAGAGGGCCAAGATGGCCTCCAAGACGGCTAAGATGGCCCCAAAATGCCTCCAAGACGGCCCAAGATGTACCCAAGACGGTCTACGACGGCCCAACAGGCCCGCAAGAGGCCTCCAAGACGGCCCAAGAGCCCTCCGAAACGTCCTCCAGGAGGCCCGAAAGGGCCAAAATCATTCCCAACCATCCTGTGGTGTTGGGTCCTCGTTTTGAAGAGACGGTGGCCCGCATCTCTCCCCATATCCTCCTCCTCCCCCTCCTTCCTCCTCCCTCCACCCACCATCATCATCGTCATCATCATCGCCGTCATCACCCATTTCGGCACACCCCTCACACGCTTCGTGGCCCCATAGGGAGCTCCGCCGAAGGTCCCAGTGGGTGTGCCCGCATGCGTCCCGCACACCCATTTCGGCACACCCCTCACACGCTTCGTGGCCCCATAGGGAGCTCCGCCGAAGGCCCAGTGGGTGTGCCCGCATGCGTCCCGCACACCCATTTCGGCACACCCCTCACACGCTTCGTGGCCCCATAGGGAGCTCCGCCGAAGGTCTCTGTGGGTGTGCCCGCATGCGTCCCGCACACCCACTTCGCGGCTTCACACCCCTGTGCCTGCATGCGTCCCGCACACCCATTTCGGCACACCCCTTTCGTGGCCCCATAGGGAGCTCCACCGAAGGTCCCAGTGGGTGTGCCCGCATGCGTCCCGCACACCCATGTCACACCCATGCGTCCCGCACACCCATTTCGGCACACCCCTCACACGTTTCGTGGCCCCATAGGGAGTCCACCGAAGGTCCCAGTGGGTGTGCCCGCATGCGTCCCGCACACTCATTTCGGCACACCCCTCACACGCTTCGTGGCCCCATGAGAGCTCCACCAGAAGTCCCAGTGGGTGTGCCCGCACGCGTCCCGCACACCCATTTCGGCACACCCCTCACACGTTTCGTGGCCCCATAGGGAGCTCCACCGAAGGTCCCAGTGGGTGTGCCCGCATGCGTCCCGCACACCCATTTCGGCACACCCCTCACACGCTTCGTGGCCCCATAGGGAGCTCCGCCGAAGGTCCCAGTGGGTGTGCCCGCATGCGTCCCGCACACAAATTTCGGCACACCCCTCACACGCTTCGTGGCCCCATAGGAAGCTCCACCGAAAGTCCCAGTGGGTGCACACCCATTTCGGCACACCTTTCACACGCTTCGTGGCCCCATAGGAAGCTCCACCGAAGGTCCCAGTGGGACAATCCGCATGCGTCCCGCACACCCATGTCGGCACACCCCTCACACGTTTCGTGGTCCCATGGGGAGCTCCACCGAAGGCCCCAATGGGTGTGCCCGCATGCGTCCCGCACTCCCATTTCGGCACACCCCCTCACATGTTTCGTGGCCCCATAGGAAGCTCCACCGAAGGTCCCAGTGGGTGTGCCCGCATGCGTCCCCGCACACCGATTTCGGCACACCCCTCACACGCTTCGTGGCCCCATAAGGGCTGCGCCGAAGGCCCCTGTGGGACAGTCCGCATGCGTCCCGCACACCGATTTCGGCACACCCCTCAAACGTTTCGTGGCCCCACAGGAGATCCGCCGAAGGTCTCCGTGGCACAGTCCGCATGCGTCCCCGCCATTCATTTCGGCACACCCTCACATGTTTCGTGGCCCCATCGGAGCTCCGCCGAAGGTCCCAGTGGCACAGTCCGCATGCGTCCCCGCCATTCATTTCGGCACACCCTCACATGCTTCGTGGCCCCATAGGAGTTCCGCCGAAGGTCTCCGTGGCACAGTCCGCATGCGTCCCTGCCAGCCATTTCGGCGCACCCCTCACACGCCTCGTGGCCCCATAGGAGTTCCGCCGAAGGTCTCCGTGGCACAGTCCGCATGCGTCCCGCACACCCATTTCGGCACACCCCTCACACGTTTCGTGGCCCCATAGGAGATCCGCCGAAGGTCCCTGTGGGACAGTCTGCATGCGTTCCGGCCATCCATGTCGGCCCACCTTTCACACGTTTCGTGGCCCCATAGAAACTCCACCAAACGTCTCCGTGGCGCAGTCCGCACGCGTCCCGCACACCCATTTCGGCACACCCTTCACACGCTTCGTGGCCTCATAGGAGCTCCGCCGAAGGTCCCCGTGGCCGCATGCGTCCCACACACCCACTTCGGCACACCCCTCACACGCTTCGTGGCCCCATAGGAGTTCCGCCGAAGGTCTCCGTGGCACAGTTCGCATGCGTCCCTGCCATTCGTTTCGGCACACCTCTCACATGTTTCGTGGCCCCATAGGAAGCTCCACCGAAGGTCTCCGTGGCGCAGTCCGCACGCGTCTCCCTCACCCAGCGCAACGCTTCGTGGCCCCATATGGAGCCCCACCGAAGGTCCCAGCCAGCCAGCTAGCTTCCTTTGCTCCGCGCAGCGGACGACCCGCGCGCGTCGCTGGGACCCCTCCGGGGCGACCAGCGCGCGTCGCGGGGGCTTCGAGCTGCGTTCTGCCCAGCGCCTCGCTCGCCTGTCGTCGCCTTGCCCAGCGGCAAGAGCCTTGCCCGTCATCAGCCAGCCAGCTAGCTCTCTTTGCTCCGCGCAACGGACGACTCGCGCGCGTCGCTGGGACCCCTCCGGGGCGACCTGCGCGCGTCGCGGGGACTCCGCGCTGCGTTGCGCCCGCAGCCTTGGACTTTTGAGTGCGCGGGCAAAAAGGGAGTAAAAGAAGGGGAGGAAGCGGGCGCGATCCTCGCGGGGGGGCGCGCCGACAATGGCGTCGCGGCGCGCGGGCGATGCCGTCGGGGAGTCACGGGGAAGCTCCTTGCGGCGGCCACGCCCAGCGTCACGAGTATTCAGAGGCAGTCGTTGTCAAAGTACTGACATTCATATACAATTGCACCATGCTTTGTCATACTCGCAATCATGCACGTAGACTCGCTCAAAAGCAGATTCATTCACAGTCAGACGCGCTCGCGCTCAGATTGGCCCGCGCTCACTGTCCATACGTATTCAGATCAATCGTTTTCGTTCGCGTTGTGTACCACGCCATTCGTTTCGGCACACCCCTAGTACGGTTCGTTGCCTCGTAGGGATCGCCACCGAAAAAGTGAATCACTACTGCGGTACTCACACCTGCATATGGTTGGGTCCCTCGTCAGGCTAATTTATTTTCCTTC